AGAAGAACACGTTTCACCGCTGGTACGTGAAGCCGAACTGAAGCATTGCACCTGTTGTACAGTAATCATCGTCTTTCTTAACCGTAACCCCCAACCGATGCAGACGTCCACACGTCGCCTGCTTGACTCTGAGGTTGATGTCGGCATAAAAACCGAAGAACACATACTCCGCACCCACATTCTAATACTGCTCTTCTTAGAATATTCAGTAATAAAAAATACGAAGCCTATCATATTTTTACAAGTTAAAGAGTTAACCGTGTGCCCAAAGAATGAGCAATATGATTTCAGATGGCAAAAGTATTATTTAAAGATGAATGTTAATAAGGGAAGTAAAAGTCGATTAAATTTATTCAATTTTTATTTAATCAGTATATCATATTTTCCTTGTCGGTTCACAAAAGAAGGGCGCCAGTGATTCGGCCAAAGGAACGCGCTGAGAAATACATTAAAATAAATACAACACACGGGCTTAGCTTGAAAGTTAAAAAATGTCTTCAAGTTTGAAAAATTAAACTGAATACAGTTCATGCCTTGCCAATAATATGTCAGGCTGGCATAGTATACTTTTAAATCCATATTGTTATTGAATAGTACTATGAATTACAAGTAATTTACATTTCAATTACAACTATCAGTTCACTTCATACAAAGTTTAATGTTATTATTCTCAATGAAGTGTTTTGTTTAAAACAAGTCCATAATAATTACGGCCAAAATGAATGCAATCGATTTTATCGCTTTGTGATCAATTTAAGGTACAAAGTTAAATTGAAAATACTTCAAGTCCAAATTGAACTCATCTAGAGGCTAAATAAAATTGAAGAACTAATGCACTTCTCTATGAAAAATCCCACGGTTGTCTTGATAATTACATTTGAACAATTATTTTTTTATTTTAAAATGAATTGAAACACACAGATGCAAGATATACCACAAAAGCTTTTGTATCAATTGTCGGTTATTATTGTTTAAGCCTATGGGCTATAATCAGTATAATACTTGTATGATACTGGACCACCAACGTTCATACATTTCAAAATTAGTTCTACTCTAGCACGAATATTTCATTTATTTTTTTGGTGTGATACATAATTCGTAGGATGAGTCTGTAGACGTCCTTCAACAATTAACAACAGCGTTTTTCCAAAAAAAAAAAAAATTATATATATATAAATATACCACTAAATATAAAATGTACTACGCATTGAGAGTTGTGACAAGTACGCACAAGATTTTGCACCTTGCTTTTGTAAGTACATACACCATTATCCGTTTTGCTTACATTGTAATGTCATATCATTTGAATAAATATAAATTCGAATATATGAGCATATGAGCTAGCAGTGAATACTTACTTAAAAATTAAATGTCATGCCTAAAGAAATAAGGCAGGTCATATCGTGAAACTCGAATATTACATTCCGTTGTTTTAACACGCTCCGTTTAATCATTTAGTTTGAGGCGCTAATTTTTAAGAAAAAATAACCGTCGTATGTAACCCATCGGTACCAATTTTGAGCTAGAAAAATTAACTATTGTACATTTTTCAAAGAGTTATAATTCTCAATTAATCGTTGGAACTAAAGCTTGAATCGTGAAACGAAAATCATCCATACAAAAGCGAATTAAAAAAAACAATAGCTAAACTTCGATGTATTAGACAGATGTATTGTTTTTTTCAATCTGTAACTTTAAATCACAATGACTATCTATTGAAACAAATTTATTTACATAAGACAATAAATAATTGGGAATCCAGCCAAACACGAAGTCCACACTTTTTATTATCAACCGGTTCAAGTTATTAGAATTTAACTATTGGCAATAACACATAAGTACAGCGTTCATTCCAAGAATATAAATATCAACCCTAATCAACAATGATTTAGCCTTCTGTCTATAGGTGCAGTATACCATTCACACGATGTATAACATGTATCTGGTGAGTCATCAAAAAGCATCCCAACAACAATAAATCGAGATCCGTGATTTACTACAAGATGTGGAGTGTATATATAGTGGTCTTAGATAATCTTAAGTCTTTCAGTCCTCTTATGTTTAAAGACTGTGGTATTCGGAGTCTATTAAAAAAAAAAAATAAGTCTGATGGGCATTTGAATTATGTATACACTGAAAGAACGTAGGTAGACTATTAAGGCGTTTTGTTATACATTCATCACATTAGATTTGAAAACAATTAATTTACTAGACTTCTTTCGCGATTATTTAGTATTTTGGGTGTTCTCTTCAACTTTCCATTTCCAAATGTATAAGTTGCAATGTGTGACACGTAGACCAGTTTTTGACAAATCTCCTTTAACGGTGTCTACTAGTTAATTGTTTGAAAGTGATTATTTTTCTATTTTTTTTTTCACGCTCTACAAGAGAAATCAAATAAGCTGAATCACAATATATTAAGGTATAATGAAAATGGTATCTTTTAAACTCAACCAAAGTTTTTAACATAATAGGACATATTAAGATCAAAATTAAACTCAAATTATTTTAAAAGCAAAACTTTAAATCTTATAAATACTTTTTTATACAAAAAAGATGTTATAAAAATCGCAAGCTAATCCTGTAACATCATACTTAATAGCATGATGATACCACAGAATAAAAAAGATTATTAATAACATTCTATCAAATTTGTTATTTATATTGTTAATGAATTAATCAGACAATTTTATTCAAGTTTTCATTTTGTTTAATAATTTTTTGTTCAATTAAAATTTAATTTAAGTAATGTTTTTTTTTATTTATATGAATTCTGTTATATTTAATTATAATTTATTATCAATAAAATATTACTTTTTAAAATAAAAATGAATAAGTAATTAGATGTTTTATATTTTTACTTGACTAAGGTACTTTAAATTATTATTCAGATTCTGGTTGTGTTATTGACAGATATATAGAAACTTTGCTTTGTTATTTGTAAAAAAATTATTTGGTGTTAAAATTTAAAGTAATTGAAGAGAGCAATGACGATGAATTCTATGTTTGTCAATGTTTAAAATCATATTTTTATTAAAATATTGTGTTAATTAATGTCAGAGAAAAAGTAGAAATATACTTATTTTTATCTATACATTTTTGATTTGTAAAGTTTTTCTCCGCTAACTAAATTGATGTGTAAAATATTTATTTTGTTATTTAAACTAAACAATGTTTGATTAACTCGGATGTTTTAAATATGTCAATCCTGGTTTTTCATTAGTTGGCAGCACAAATTAGTTAACACGGTTCAAGTCATTTGAGTTTGAAATTATTTTTATGATGTTGAAACTATTTAAGGTTAAAGGTCTAAAGATAAAATATATCTTTTATATCTATTAATAAGTTACAATAAAAGAAATAAATAGTTGCTTGATAACCTTAAAATAAATTTCAAGTAAATTCTTCGACTCAAAAAATGTATCTAAGTAAATCACTTTAAGGGTGAATATATATTACCTTCATAAAATTAAAGTTATTAATTTTTCTAGAAGACGGAAAAAACTCGGAACAAAATTATTTTTACATCATAACACTTAAATTGTTTCATATAAAACAATTTAACCAAAGAAAATTAAGATACACTCTGAACGAGTTGTGTCCTCATGAAATAAGTTTAATTCAACGTTCGTTTAGAACTAGCTAAACACAATATGCGAGAAGCGTCTGATGCCAGCACGTTACACGATATTATGATTTATGAGGTTATTGTCTTTATATCATCTTGCATAACACAGCATAGTTCCCCAACACAATTCGTGTACGTTTTAAATTGCCTTGGCTATTTTAATACAAAAGAAAACTGCCGAGTGTTTGATACTTTCGATTGCAAAATTGACAAACAATATGTGTAAAAAAACTCGACTGTGATTCGTGTATCATACTAATTACAATTATTAATATAAACACAAGGGAAAAAAATCTAATTTTTAGATCAAGTATATTTAAAGTTGTTTCTTGTTCTACAGAGTACTCAGTTGTAAATCAAACAACAATCTGGGTATTGGAACCGGAAGTAAACGGAATTACGCGCACATGTCTACACATTACTGTAAGATATCTCATGATAGATCTCTCTATGTGTGTGTTTTAATAAAACCAGTCGCCATTCTACGATTTGCAACCGGTCAATAGCCACCGTCACTACTCCTCTTGTTACACCCAATTGTATGCTATAAAACGGCAATTGGTTACAGAGTAAAATTGAACATTTTAAGACGATAATCATATGTTTAAACAAAGTCTTTTTTTTTCTTTTTATTTAAATTAAATACTGATTTTTTCTTGGCAATATTTGTTTAATACGCGTTCTTTAACATTTAATTAAGAATAAAAAATCGATAAAATTGCCAAATTAAAACTATACTATAATGTTCATTGCGCAGTTAGATATAATTAGTAGAATATTAAATTTAACAATTAATTTTCATATGCTCGTAAACTTTAATCTGTCATGCTTTCCTTCGATTATAAGAGAGTGAACAATACCGTTGAGATTTGATTGAGAAATTTCAAATTACTATAGTCTTCTACGACTTTATCGTCGACATAAACTTCAGAGCGAAATAAAATAGTTTTTACAGTGATTTGTTTTTTTTTACAATTACTATACAACACTTACAGTAATAGCTATTATTGGTAGAGGATATAAATTTAATTAATATCCGCTACTTAACCGAAAAAGTCTTTGATAAAATCTCGAATTTATTGATATGAAGCCTTTAATTAATAACACTATAATTTGAAAAAGAAGCTAAAAAGAGAAAATTCTTAACCAATAATGAGAAATTATAACTTTCAGACATTTTTGATACAACTTAACACGAAGATAACTAAAAACACCAATCGTAGCATACATATATTTGTATAAAAGAACACTTTTGATTTCATAAAATTGGTAAATGGTTAGCTGTAAATTTATAAATGAAATTATTGTTAAGTGTATAGTAAGTTTACCTTATCTAATATAATTGTTTTAGTCTAAAGTATTATCTACTCACATTGTTCCTATTGATTCCGTGAATCTTTTGTACTCCGCTGTTTTTTGTCTTAACGGTACAAATTACTTTGATGGCCGTCGACGGTGTCCTAGTCACTATACCTACAACCCCAATGCCGTTTTTGACATTTTGATTGCCAGTGAACTTCATTTTGAGTTCAGCGACTTTTCCAGTTTTTCGAATGTCTTGCCGCATCCTGTTTAACTAATACATCTAAAAAATTAAAAACGTACAATTACGTTGAATATGACAATTTACGAGTGTTACTGTATACACTATTGTGTACAAGTACCCAATTACAACATAAAACAGTTTATTGAACCAGAAAAATGTACAGGTCTTTAACCGGAAATGCTCAAATAATATTAAATATAATTATTTATTAAATTTTGTTTTTTTCATAAATGTCGTGCCTAATTTGATTATAGGTAATAAACTGTGCGTATATGAATTGCAGGCACAGACGCGTTGTCTCGCGTTTGGGATATATAATTTAAAAATGATTAGTGAACCATGAAGAATACACGTTTTATTTAGTCGTTCAAAAAAAAAAAGCACGAAATCCTTCGGGCTCTGTGAAGTGCATAAAATATCAGTCGACTAAAATGGTCAAGTCGCAAAGATTCATATGAACCACTTGTACCGTTTAAGTACTGGTTTTATTCCAGCGACGCTATTGTTCATAGGTTCATTTGCAATGTTCAGTAAAGTAAGCATGGCCTCAATGTACAATAACAACGAAATTTTATTTGAATGTTTACTTATTTATCCGATTAACATAAGGTAATTCTTTATAAAATAAAGAGCTCAAGTAGTGAAAACACTCCTTATAAATAATATAATAAAAAATTGATTGAATAAAACAATAGTGAAGGTCGTTTTATTTTCTAGACACGCCTAAATCAAGCTAATATAAATTGTTTCACTTAATGCACAAAAGTTTTAAATAAGTTATCCTTACTTATTTTACAATGGTAAAAATGATTAGTACTACTGTGGTTTGTATATTTATTTTATCAAATATGCCTTTAAGGGTATGAAATTACTATTATTATCCCATATAATATGTCTTAACTCGTATAGTATATACATTTTTTAAATAGTTATTTAATAATTTAGAAAATATCATTAGTGATAATCCGACATTTGTATTACGTGTCGGAAGCAACGATCAACATAATACAATAACTGTAAAAATAGAAAGTGTTATGCTAGATCTAAATATGCAATTAAAATAATGAGTCAATGAGAAATTATTATTATGGCAATTGCATCAGGAACATTTTCAGTTATTCATACGTATTTTGAATTATATCCAAAGTAACGATATTTTTACACATTTTACGGCCTCTCGGAAAAAAACTGTACAATTCGTGTAATAGAGTAGAACAAAAAATACAAAAATTTAAGATTGAACAGTAATAGTAAATTTTAATAAATTATTCATAATTGGCTACATATTTGATCCCTCATCAGTTGTTCGTATTACCGTAATTTTTATAGTGAAATAATTAACCCATTTAATGCAACTTATTTTCCACTTAAATTACATGCAAAACCTATTCTTTTGGTAAAAATAACTGTTTCGGTCCAATTAAAAACATTTTAACATTTTCAAAGTATATCTTTTGTACTTTTATAAGCATTACGCCAAAAGTACATTGAAACATTAATTTTTTTTTCACATTTATTAGGAAAATTGATCATTTTTCTGTACTACTACAATTCGATAAGAAATTTACCACTTTATTTGTTCCAATCAATATTTTCAATGAACTTTAATATTAAAATATTAAGCGATAGGCTTTACCAAACAGTAGAGTGATTTATTTGTATTGGCTAACCACGTAATGTCCATTTCAAATAATAATTTAGTCAAATAGTCAGTTCGTCGTGTTTCATGTTTAGAAAACATAAATTCTAATGCCGATAAAGAACAGTGTGTGTGGTTTAAATTGATAAATATGTATCTTACTTAACGACTTTAGAAACGGCTCATGCAGTTTAATCGGCTTGGTCGGAGACGAGAGACATGGCCGCGAAGACATTAAGAATTGATAACTGCGACGGCGGTAGGTGAGTGTTTAATGTGTAATACGTACGTGTAGATTGTGTGCCACCACTGTCGACGAAGCTGATGATACTTGCGCGCCCGGTTACTATTATCATTACATTATTTTTTTATTACCGCAAGCCGTCCTTGTAGTCGTTTTCATAGTGTTAAATTGACCGTGTAATAGATGATCAACGGCCATGTAGAGGAAGAAGAAAACTGCTCGATGACATTAATGGTTATTTTAGAGTCCAAAATAAAATAGTCATTATAACTATATTTTTTTACTGAACCCATCAGATTTCATTCGTAAACAAAAATATTGCGCCAGGTCATAAAACGTATCGGGGCATTAACATTCTTTGGAGGTTTTTTGAATCTCTTGAGCCCTCTTGTCGATTACATTTCATTTTCGTCATCGTAAACTCCCGCGTAGGCAAAATAGAACAATGCAGTTAACTGTCTGATGTTCTTAATAACCACCACTGTTAAACTCATTCGGCCCTTATGTTCACGTAGTTTTAAATTTTACACAAGCTCAACTGATTATAAAACTTTATTTTGCGATTTAGGTATGTACATTAATTGCTTTAATCGGTAAAGAAAGCGAGTATAAGTAGATAACAGTGTCATTAAATTTAATAAAACTATCTTCTATTCTCCCTAAATATGAGGACAAACATGAAAAATTGATTATTTGTATAAAATAGGCCAAATTCAATACGATAAACATTAAATAGTCAAATAAACAAAAAATAAGAATTTATCAATACTAAAATGTATTGTTAATGATTAATCACAAAATTATTTTTCAGATTTAATTAACATTTAATACTCCATTTCTTATAATTTTTAGTCTCAAATAAAATATCACTATTCAAATTTTGTTCTTGTATATTTTTGAACCCTATTTCTAAGTATATACTATAAGCTATATTTTATGTATCTTCTTAATCCCAAATACTCGGGATCGGGACATTTCTGTAGATATTTTTTTAATTAAGTTAGACGTTAAAAATGAATAATACACATTAATTTTCAACTAACTAGTAAGGTTGTGTTTTTTTCATAATTCTTCAATTTATTTTTTTTTACAAACAATTGTAATCAAATGTAATTTTAACTACCTAACTAAATCTAAAAATAAGATATTAAACTTACCCTTTATCATGTTTTGTATTAATAAAAAAAATATTTAAAACCTAATAACTAACATGTGTTAAAATGAATCATTTATCAAGGAATCAAGATGAAAAAAATAGAATAAGAATAAATATGATTTTTATTAAACATCAAAACTATTACTAACACTAATCAAAGAAATTGTAATTTATAGTATACAATATGACGGTTCTGTAAAAAAAAACACGAGAAAAAGCTTAATTAATGAAAGTCTTGTAAATTTCTTATTACAAACCCTTCCTTGCTTTTTTAAATGCTGGGAATATACTTATGTATCTTTAATTTATAAACTTTTCCGTGATTTGCTATTTTAATTAAAGTTTTATATTAATATATATTTGAAAAATTATATTTTAGCTTGTGAAATTAATATAATAATCACAATATAACCTATTAAAATCAATATTAGAAATAATGGAAATACCCATTTTTGGTTTAATAACTTAATTATATCATTATGTATTGTAAGATTATATATTTTATATAAGATATTATAAAACAACTATTGGTTTTTTTTTAATTGAATAAAATTAATTCTTTCTAACCACATGGAACAATGACCAACTTATCCCAAAATTTCATAAAAACTATCGAATTTCCAACACATTTGTATACACTAAAAAAAGAAAAGTTGCTTAACAACTACTTTTTGCATTAAAATATACTAAAAATTGATACATTTTAAGGCAAAAAATATTTTAAGCAATTAGTAATTTAAATTGTCAATTATTATTCTTAGATGAATTATCTTTTTATTATATCGATAGATGATAAAGTGAAACTAAACTGTTTTTTCCCTTAAAATGACTTGAATCTAGAATAGAAAGGTTGATATAAAGTTAACGTGATGTATTTTAAATGTTAGATCAATTTTTTTTTACATCTTTCTTTTAAAGTTAAGTCGCATGCGTGTGTTGGCCATTTAAACACGAGCCAGATTTTGTTTGTATTATTCTATTTTTGTTAAGTGGACTAATACATTATTACATGTTTGTATATATTAAAATGAACCACATTCTACATAGTATAACTTTAACTTGTGTATATTGAAATTAAGAAAATATTACCTTATATCATATGAAAAACTCGTAATTATTTAATTTTAAAAACACATTATTTATATATGCAATTATATTTTTTATTTTAATGACATACTCATCTAATGGTATATTATTTAATGCAATTGATAAATTTTCTAGACAAACTTGCAGAATTATTTCATATAGTTTATATTCAGTTAAAATTGTATTAAAAAAAAAACTCATCCCAATAAGGTTACGGTATAGTTGGATCAAGTACAAATAAAATTTGACAGTGTTAACATCTCTATTATGAGGAATGTATTAAATTTCACAGTAATTTCTATAATTGTAATTTTAACAATAATCGTTTGCTGTTTTATTTTTATTTATATTATAGTACACTTAAACAACTTTAATTTTATATAGGTTAAATAAGGCAAATATTCCAGAACATTTTCAAAAATTAAGTTGAAAACCATTTTTTACATGCTTAGGTGGTCTTTTCAACCCCTCCTGTATATAGGGTCATTATTAAATTTTTATAAAAATCATACCAAAAAAAAGTTTATTAGCTTTAATATACTCTAGTTAAATTTCGTTTTAAAATGGGTTTGAAACTTCTTATTTTAATAAAATATCCTTAAAACGAAAAATACACTTTATAAAAAAAATGTATTAAATATCGTTTTGGTTGAATTGTAAGTAATTTCAAATTAGTGGACAATTAAAAAAATATTCACATTTAATAATAACAGTGTATAATATTAATTATTGACTATAACTTTATTGTAGTTCCATATTTTTTTTATGATTTAGTTTTTACTATGAATCATAAAATAACTTTTGACCCTAGAGGCCTTAAACAGTGTATTATTTAATATAATGCAAATTGATAAACACATTTTTGCCTGTTTATTATGCCATGCTGTTTTTCTAATTCACTATAAAAATTAGTTATTTGATTTGCTTTTAGAGCATACAAAACTGCCTAAATACTTTTATAGAGATACAGAAAAAAGTATTTTGGTTTGTAATACCGATAAAATTTTATGACCAAAATCAATAATATTTAAATTAAAAGACATATTTCCAATTTATTATTTTTAATTAAGTTATAAAGTACTTCATTAGCTTTACTTGATCATTTTCTATAATAACTCTAATAAAAAAGTTTTAGTAAAATAAAGTTAACATATTTTTATGCATAAAATTATATTGTGTCATACTTTTATTATGAATCAAGTTGTATTCGTAACACATTTTGATTTTAATTTATAAAACATATAGGGTAAAGTAATATTAAAAATTAGTTATGAATAATTAAAATTAAAAAAAATCCGCATTTTACCTGTATGTTATGATGTTTTTTACTTATTATTTACGTATAGCAGGTGGGTCAATATTTTTGATGGAAAATATTCGCGGACACCGCGACGGCACTACTACAGACTATCGTCTGGAAGCAATGAGGCATTAGTATGCTACTGATTAGTGAAAACAACAGTTGATGTATTCAGTGTCTCGATGAGCGCACTGTATTTTTCTTTATTATTTTTAACACAACATCTCTAACAAACGCTGGATTTAAATACTATCTATTTAGATGTTTATTTCCAATGGTAGCTTTAGGCTTTTAATGCCCCACGCAAACATTATTTTGACGACCAGTAAAAAATATGTAACCTTTTTTTTTTTAATTGGCGGATAAAAGAAATATTTTTAACTTAAATTAAGATACAGCCGTTGGCGTTGATAATTTTTAACTTTCCATACTCTGAAACGGATGGTAAGTCCATCATTGAAAACAGGAACGGCGACTCCAATTACTGAGCTGATCTCTCGCATAGAAAACACTCATCTGAGACCGAACTTTGAACCCATGGTAATGCGCATTAGTGCACTATTATCATTCAAATAAATGCTGATGTGATAATATAATAATCTTGCCAGCAATTAAAAGTCTAATCTTAGACTAGTAATCCATAAAAATAATATAAATGGATTCTAATGTAATATTTCTTCTTATTTAAGTCGTGCATACAACAATCAAATTAACTTAGTAACAGCATTTCAGAAATCCACAATTGAGTTCACTTGCCATTGAGAAGTGAAAAATTCTCATCAAAGAAAAGAGAACTTACTTATTCTTTTTACAAAATTTGAAGTATTGCGGATTTTAAGATAAGGAATATTATAGCGTGGACCACATTATGTAGTCAAGGTTTATGATTAATCATTAGCTACATTTACGATAGTAATTGTATTTTAAATAATACATATTTTAAACTTTATTTAAAATTGGATAATATTATCCCTATGGACTTCTAGATAAAAAATTATAAATTATTTTGTGATTGATAAGAAAAATATTTTTTTACGAAAATGAATAAAAGTAATATTTATTTTAAAGAATTAATAATTTCATAAACAAAAAATAATATAATTTGAAGACGAGGTTAGGGGGCAGTTGCCTCACAACATCCTCTCCCTTTAACATAAATACGCTACTAACATTAATATTAGCCGCTAGTATGTATTATCGAATAAAGTTTGATGAAAAAGTGCAAATAGTATTTTTTTAATTAAAGATTTATATTTTAATTGGATTTATTAAGTGAGTTATGGAAAAAATCTCACTAGGTTCAATTAGCTTAATTAGGATTTAATCTAATAGGACTTAAACAAGGCAACTAGAAATGAATCTTATTATTTGATATATAAAAACTAAGCAAGTTTTCCAGTATGAATTAATAAATGTTGTGAAAATGTTAATTGGTATAGGGGGACGCTTTAAAAAAAAAAAATTCTGGGGATCTTTTTATCTTCACCCAATATTTTTCAAATCACCCCTATCTAAATTATGCCGAAATCATTCGTGTATAATAATACAATAAGTAATATATATTTTACTTATTCATAAATGTAATTTAATAAGCATAAATAACTTTTTCTCAATAGTTTTATCTCGAGTTATTATTTTACTTAAGCAAATGATCTAGTTGAAAATTCATTATACTTTTTTGTTATCAACGATGAAACTTTGGTGCTCATTTCAAGAAAAATGTGAAAACCCATAGCTATTAATACTCGTGAAAAAATATTTCACGCAATTTTTAGAAGTGACTTTTCCAATTTATTAGTATTTAATATTATTTAGCATTTATTAGCCAACCAATAAATACCACATTTGTAAATTACTATTATTTGTAAATAATTAAAGTATAACTGAATAATATTTTTTAATTTTAATGTCAAAATTATAAAATAAAAATAAAAAATAAAACAATGAAACAATATAAAATAAAAAATTACACTAATATCCATTTATATATAAAAAACGTGAAAAAATCAATTCATTTTATTCATTAACACGTTATTTACATGATTTATTTTTACTTAAATTTAACTTCATTAAGCTCTAAAGTAAAATTAAAAGAAAAAACAAATTTTATAATAATTGAGTATATTTTTTTATAGTTGCGCTTTTTTCGGTTATTATTTATGTAAAAACAAAACAATAATATTGTTCGAACACAACCAACCATGTGCCGCGCTCTACCTGTTAAATGCCTATACTATACCATATCTATATATACTAATACCATAAGGTTAATTTACTCGTCTCGTTTGTTAACCCTTTCTCCATCTATAAATGTTAGGTTAAGTAAAAATATCATTAATCATCAAAAAGTGTCTAAGAGATCAATTCATTTTTCATCTAAGATTTTAGACAAATATTAAGTTAATTTAAGTTTAACTGCTTTATGATTTGTAAACCTCATCACTTTTAGTATAAATATAAAAAGTATTTTTATAAAAAAAAGGCGAACTAAAAATAATATATAAAACTGTTTATTTTAATTATCATAATATTATAATATTGTATTTTTTTTTAATTTTACCTTGCGTACAGGTAAAGGTGGATTATTTTATCATACTATAATATAGTATTATCATACTTTTATTTTTATCTATAAGTATTTGCATTTTATGGATAAAAATAGGTCTTATAATATGATTAAAAACTCACATCGTCTAAATTTTTTCATCCTGAATGTTTAAAATAGATGATCTAATTTATTCACTATTTTTCTTAAATTTTTTCTTGTTTCTGGACAGGGTTATCACGATGACCCTATTAATCTAAATATAACATTAATTTTTTATGGTTTCTTTCAGAACATGAATTTTTTTTAATTTATCAATTATGAAGAATTTTTTATGTTCAGTCCTTACTTATACCTCATAAAAGTGTCATTTTTATATTATATAAAATCAGTATATTTAATTTATTCGCTTACTTATTGCATAATGATTAATTAAAAACACAACTAGTTAACAACATTTTGGACTAATATTTCAGAAAACATTAACGTTATTATTCATATGTAGATGGAAGATTGACGCCGAAAACAGTCTAGTGATAAAAACTGCAATTCCCGCACTACACCTCTTTACAGTACTTTAAAAATTTATCTGCTTCTAAAATACTGGTTCAACAATTAACTGTTTTCCTAATGAAATCATTATCTAATGGATAAATTTGATTATGAATCAATAATTAAATTCTTTAATCGCATAGCACACTACCAAACGCTTTTCTCCATTTTTACCACTCGCACTTAATTCTGTGTCTTACATCCTCGTCAATACCACCGCTCTTTTGCAATTACTTGCAAAATAAATACAATATTGGGATAATAAATTTGATTTCTTACATATATTTCTTGATTCAATAGCTATTAATTACTATTAATAATGACTTTTTAAAATCTTCCCTGAAAACTTTAAGGGATGTCGACTTTATTTTTCAAATGGTAACAAACATATTTAACTAGCTTATAATATATATATACCAGTGGTAGTAATAATCTATTTCGATAGNATGGAAGATTGACGCCGAAAACAGTCTAGTGATAAAAACTGCAATTCCCGCACTACACCTCTTTACAGTACTTTAAAAATTTATCTGCTTCTAAAATACTGCTTCAACAATTAACTGTTTTCCTAATGAAATCATTATCTAATGGATAAATTTGATTATGAATCAATAATTAAATTCTTTAATCGCATAGCACACTACCAAACGCTTTTCTCCATTTTTACCACTCGCACTTAATTCTGTGTCTTACATCCTCGTCAATACCACCGCTCTTTTGCAATTACTTGCAAAATAAATACAATATTGGGATAATAAATTTGATTTCTTACATATATTTCTTGATTCAATAGCTATTAATTACTATTAATAATGACTTTTTAAAATCTTCCCTGAAAACTTTAAGGGATGTCGACTTTATTTTTCAAATGGTAACAAACATATTTAACTAGCTTATAATATATATATACCAGTGGTAGTAATAATCTATTTCGATAGCAACTATATATTATTGTTAACTTTTATTTAGATAACCAACAAGGAAAATTGTTTTTGATAACTACCACGATAAATAATTTATGGGCTATTATAGCAGACTATTAACGCCACAGTAGAAGCAATAATACCGACTACACTACCACTGGCATAATAATACCAAAATAATGATGAATTTTTACTTGACATCTAAATCTTTAAATAATGTGTAAATCACAAACGGTTGAACGGGAAAAGAAATTGTAAAAACAATGTCGTTTGTAGATTTTTTTTCTATAACATTAGTTAAGACTAGGGGTTCCTATTTAACATAATTATAAATATGGATATTCTTCCCTTAAGGACGAAAAAAAAATTATTTAACTACAAATTATTATAGAGTTTTTTGAATTAAATTATACTAGCTACGATGCGAAACTGAGAAGGTATTTATTTTACTACGATGTGTTTTTTTTCTATTACCACTTTTTCTCAGCTCTCATCGAACTGATTTCTTTCAACGATACGTAAAAGATCACAAATCGTATCTAGTCAAAAACATTACCCTCAAAAATTGAAAAAAATTCCCTCGTTCTCCATAAATGGGAAAATTTTCTAAAAATTACAATTTTAAAAATCGCTAATTTTCGACGTTTTTCAATTTTTTTTAAATAGAATTGTCATAACATTTTGAAAAATGAATGAACAGAAACAATATTTTTAATAGATAAATTAGGTATTTAACTATCATTTGGTATATTTTTTAAATCTGACCCTTCACCTGCCCACAGGGGAGGATTTAAAAGATAATTTTTTCGCAAGAAATTTTGATACTGTATCGGGAAAAATTACACTTTTATATATATCATAAATTTAAGCTTATGTAATATACTTTAATATGAATAAAAAAAATTTCGAACATTTGTTTGTCTTCATTGTGAAAATGGCTACCGTATTCAAAAATATGCTATTTTTGTATTATAATCCTCGATTTTATTAATAATTAGTAATAATATCAAAACTTAAATGCGATAGAAAATTTTCAGATTTGAAAACAGTGCGAAAAATTGATTTATATTATAATTCAAAATAGCTACTGAGATTAAGCAAAATGAAAATTTTAATTAACAATAAGTATTATACTTTAGTACACAAAAAAATTTGGAAAAGCTACAATATTTCCTATTCCTCAGTAATCTACTTAGAGTATCCTACTCTAACATGTGTAAATAATCCGTGTAAAGAAATCAATTCGGTGAGAGCTGAGAAAAAGTGGTAACAGATACAAAAAAAAAAAACACATCATAGTATAATTAATACCTTCTCAGCTTCGCATCAAAGCTAAAAAAAGCAAGATCATATCATTCATTTTAATTATTACTGGCTTCATTTCATCAAATCAAATCATAATGCTTTAACTGTTTTGAATTTATTATGCGATTAAACTAAAGTACATATTTTTGACTCTACCAATTTATTGTATATTTTACTTCGATTAAATCAAGTAGTAAGATCAACAGCTAAGTAAAAAAGCAATGTGAAAACTCGTCATTTTGCCACTGAATTAAGTGTACAAAACATAGTAGTTTCAAGTATGATGTGTTTATTTTTGATTTTATTCTTTTTTTTTTGAAATCTAACTCTTTATCTGCCTATAGGAGTAATTAAAATAGTTACTTTTACATAAAAAATATACTTTTTCTAATTAACTTTTGTAATTTTTTTGGAAATACCGAACCCCAATCTTAAAATTTATGTTAAATTAAAGTTTATTTTTTAAACAACTTGTTTTTTAGAAATTAAACAAGTTAAACAAAAAATATCATTTTGCAAACAATTACCGTTGTCCGTGTTGTTATAATTTTTTTTTTAATATATTTAAACTTATCTTTTAGGTAACTTTTGGGTATATTTACATAATAACATACGTCTAGCACGATAATGAGACGTTTCACTGCTACGGATTTCAGGTGTTTGCTGGTGCGGAGGGTTACGGTTAGTATGACTTGGTGACCCGCTCATTCTTCATTTGTCATGACGATGCGTCAGGATTCGCTATAGTCTCTGCCGTGACTGGTCTCGACAGATCGTTTGTTTATGAGCTTGGACATGGATAATGCGGGACGAGATCCCTGATGGTTACTCAAATAAGCACCATCCTACATGTCACAACAAACTTATGCAGCGGTGTAGGTGGACGTAAACGATGGCGGACGCAATGACAGATGTGAATATAAAACCGGCAACGACGTCGGATGGTGGCAGTAATGGACGACATTCGGCACAAACAGTGATGACCAGTGAACCAAGACTGCGGCGACATTAGACGTTGGTGGCACGAACAGGTGACGGCAGCAATGGTCAACAAATTGCTTAGCGATGGCAACAACTCGGCTGGACAGATACAGAATACTGAAGACGTCGTCTTTAGTATTCTGTTCAATGAATATACAAAAGCGTGTTGAATAGTTGAATGAATTAATTTCTACTTAATGCTCAGTATATTTTATGTTCACATGAGTATGCTCATAGTGATAGAATGAATTACTTTTTTTTATTTTCTTCTGTTTAGTGGGTGTTGACCAAACGGCTGTTTAATTTTCTAGAGAACACGACGGTAACATTATACTCCATTACATGATAAATTAAAATTTTAATTTCATGACTGCAATAATAAAATTAAGAAAGTTAACTTTCCTTCTTTTTCCAATAAATCTATACAACTAACTGCTTTATAACTTTTTATTACTTCCCCATCAAAATTAATAAATAATAAATTATTAAATATAAATTTTGTACTACATTTAATTGTTATAACAGGTACTTATTTATATATTATACTGATCAATCATAAAACTGTAATCAAGATAAAATTTAGGAAAAAAATATTTAATAAAAAAAAACAAATTATTGTAATGGAATGTAGTCAATAACAAATATATTAAAATTTTCAAAAGTAGCAATATAATTACATTACTTTTATTTTTTGAGGACCATTATTTTCCAAGTAGGGACATTTACCCCAGTTGACACTTCACAATATATAGTTAGGGACCCATAACAATTGCAATATATAGTTTTTGTAAATTTGTAACTTTTTTTTTAAATGTCATTTATAATCTTAATCTTTTTATTTGTAAATTAAATCAAATATTATTAAAAATAACCATTTTACAGTTGACTAAATTCTAAAAAAAATTATGATATGTAGAATATATAAATCAAATTCATTTGAACAATATGATAATGTAAATATGCAGGTGTAACTATAATGACGTAGTGAACTACGAAAATTTATTGTCTCTAGGTATATAAAACTATTAAAATTATTTTATGGGGAAACATTTAAATTAATTATATTATTTAATTTATACAAATTTTTCAAATTAAATTTAAGAACTTTAATTTTAATTTAATATTTCGTATTTTTATTTTTTATAAATAGACCAACCAATTATGATAAATTGATTAGTAAACTTTATGTCGTGAAATTTATAGAATTGGTTGAATTCCCTTAAAAAATGTTCAATAAAATTTAATTTACATTATACATGTCTTACACTTGTTTGATAAAAATTACATACATTTTGACGCTTAATAAGTTAGTAAATTGTTGGCATATAAACAAATTATAAATGCCTCAATACTAATACGGTGTTTTTAGGTATGAATAACATAATTAATAATGAAAATAATTTAGTGTTCTAATTTATTTTATTATCCTATGATTTTTGTTTTAATATAAAATGACATGAATCTTGGACTAACTGTTTTCACTATAACTATAATTCAATACAATATCATCTAAGTAGATTGTAAAAATAAAAAAACCTAGCACAGTGGGGTCGCGACACAGTGGTGTCGTAGCATAGCTGGATCAAGTATAATGATATCTGACAGTGATTAAAATCACTATCATAATAAACGCTTCGATGCAAATCTTTAGATAGTGTTTAATTTAAAAAAAATGGTGGATTATTCCAAAAGCTACATGATCTGCTATTTCATTATTGATATCCTGATTAAGATAAAGTATGACGAATGAAAGAGGGATATAAATATTATTTCTCATAAAAAAATTGTATTTACCCATACATTTTTCAATAAGTTATAGCATTATAAAGTTAAAAATGTAATAAAGGCAAAAAAAAATTCATTAGCGATGTTTTAAAGTTTATACAATGCTATAACATTTAAATTATATTGACTTAAAAAGCCTTAAACTTGACTTTTACGAGTTACAAACTAACCCGTTCACAATATTTATGAGATAAAAAAGTTCAATAGGGAACTTCAAGAAGAACTGGGCTTAACACTAGTCACTAGTTATATAAAAGGTCAAAGAATACATTGGTTGTTTCATATTATGAAGAGCGAGGACAAAAACTACTAGAGCAGTTATGGAATGAAAATATTGCTATTTAAAAAAATAAAGTTGATACCTCTTTTAAGCCTAGTAAGTAGAAACATAGTTTCGTCATACGAAATGTCGGGTTCGATCATCAGGGTGCCAACGAGATTTTTTTTGTTGAAAAATATGTTATTAAAAGATGATTATAAAAAGGCGTTCTTATCCGATAAATCAAGAAATACATGTAAGTAAAAAAAATTAAAATTTTATCTTCTCATATTGCATATCTTTGGCGAGTAATCAAAAGGTAAATGATAAAATGATCACCATGTTTAACTTATTAAAATATTGAAATAATACATATTATATAAATAAGATACTAATTATATTAGAGATAATTTGTTACAATCGAGATGTTTAAATTTATAATTTTTTTACAACTTGTAGATATAATGTGTCTGATTTTCATATTTGTAACCCTTTTATCTGTTGTATTATTTAAAAAATTAATATTTAACATTATTTCTAAATCCTTAATATACATAATTAATTAAATAGTATAATAATTAATTTTTTAGTTAAAAAATTACGTTATCTTACTTTTGTACAATATTACATTATTATTAATATTAGTAAAAGTAGTATTTTAATATGAAAAATTGGTGGTTAATTTATTTGCCGTGCAATACATACTACAAGACAAATTTTTTCAAAAATCATAAAGAAAACAAACTGATATTGCAAGTTATTTGAATTAAATTAAATATAATTTTTATGGAATACATAATATAGAGTAATATATTTAATATTTTAATACCATACAATGGTATGTTTTTTTAGTGCCTGATAATAATAAATATCAAATTTATTTGAGGAAGAAAGCCATACATATTTAATGGAGTCTATATAGAATTTATATTTGAACACAAATATTCGAATCTTGTGAATTATTTGAATAAACTTAAAAAACATTGATAAACTTAAAGATTGTATAGAAGCTAAACAATTTGGGAATAACAACCGTCTCGTATATTAATAAATTTAAAAAAAATCGTTAAAACTATTTAATAAAAATTAAATATAATGGGTAACTATAGTAACACAAAAAAATAACTATTATTACATGTTTGACGAAGGAGGTACTTGAATTAACTAAAAAATCTTATTCTTCGAATCCTTTTTTGGTGGATGATGTAATTAATTACACAAAAAATTGATATTGAACCAGTTATACGTAATTTAATTTTTACTCTAATTAGATTTATTAACGAGTTATATCTTGGTTGATAAATTACTACAGTGTAGCAGATCATACAATAGTAATGTATTACAATATATTTAATGTTAATAAGAAAATAAAATTTAGACGAATTTAATTTAAAAAAGTTTATTAGAATACTTGGCTAAATCAGTGCCCCTTAGAATAGAATATATACAACGCAACGTATATACGGTGATGTCACGTTGAGTTTATTGTTGGTTGTATATTTTGCCCTTTGGCCTATGAAGCACATTCATTTTTTAAGAGCATACTTCTTATTCATTTTATTATGTTTCTAAATATGACATTGTAGAAAATTATACAAGACTAAGAAATTTTTATCACCTGTATTATTTACAATTTTTAAATCTTACATTAATTTGATAAGCAAAAAAAAAGGATATCATTTCATTTTTAAAACATTATCTTATCTGTGATATAATTTCATTCCTGTTAAGTATTTTCCTGATTTGTATAGCCTTCCTTTACCATCTATAACCTTTTTAAGATTAATAACTTGAATAATACGTGTTAGGTATTTCCTACTATAGTTTTAATTTAAAAAATGGTTATTAACCGTTTTCTTACTAATATTGAAAAACAATAAAATGTCAGTAACATTAAAAGGTCAAATACTAATATTTTAGTAATAAGAAAATATTGTAGCAGCTTCTCAATGGATATAACTGTAAAAAAATTAGGATGTGAAGTTCGTGGTATAGATTTGAAATTTGAAAACAGGTCAGAAAGTAAGTGATATTTATATAATTCCTTAGCTCCATTAAAATCATAGGCTAGACGATTTTTTATATATTATTTTATATAAGATGATTTATGTGTATAATATAATATTTAAGTTTTAACTAGTAAATAACTAATAGTGTAAATTTATTTATTTTATTTAACTTTTTATGAAATTATAAATAAAATTCATAAATATTTTATCAATTTTTTACTTACAGTAATTTTAACTATTTAATGAAATACTTATTAAAATTATTTTACATATTATTAATACAAGTTTTACATCTACCGTATTTTGTATAAAATTATTATTGGTTAATTTTAGTTGTATGATATTTTTACATAAAAAATAAGATTTACTTGAAACTTCCTAGAAATAAATTAATTTTTTATAGTTCGTATTATCTTGGATATCATTTGCAGTATATAGGGTATAAATTTGTGTACTTTAATTTCTGTAATATTATTTTTAAAACCTTGAAATGTAAATTTTTGTGTAAATTATAATGTATATTCTGTTTTTAATATCTGATCTACCGAAATAGTCGATCGCAATATTTGTATTTATTAAGACAATCAAAATAAAATATATATATTTATGTGTTTTTTTAATTTTCAATACCGAAATCATGCCTATTTTAGTGAAAGGTTAAATTGAATTCTTTGATTTATTACTCAATATTTTAACTTTTATACTTCATTTTTAGTACAATTCATTAAATAATAAAATTTTTTACTCTTTTATTATTTAATAGCTAGAAAAGTTTTATTAAAGAATTGGATAAATAAATGTCCAATATCTTAATTTATTCTCATTTCCTAAAGTGATTAATTTTTTGTTTAGTTATTGATCAAATAAAACAAGAAGTTTTGAAACACAGAATATTGATTTTTAAAGATCAAGGTAATATCAGTGGCGAAAGGCATGTAGAAATAAGTAAATGGTTCGGTGAATTAGAGTCTACATTTTACAAGCATCCTAGGTCTCCCCATCCAGATGTATTTAGGGTATCTAATGACAGAAGTGAAGGATGTACAGGTATAATATTTTTTATGATTTATTAAAAAAAAACCCTATGAAATTCATAAGCATAATTATAAGGTTGTGTCATACATTTTATAGAAGACAAATTAATCAATTAAAAAATAATAGATAAAATAGCATTTTTGTTGTTATTTTTTTAGGTGTTGGTCGCTCAGGTTGGCACATAGATGGAACATTTCAGCCAGCCCCATTTGCTTATTCTTTATATCACATGGAATCTGTTCCTAAAGAAGGGGCAACTTTATTTGTTCCTTTAACTGAATTAATTGAAAGTTTAGATAAAAAAACTTATGAATTGTGGAATCAGGTTTGGATGATAAGTGATCGTATATCAGGATGTGTACATCCTTTAATTTATAAACACCCTCAATCTAGAAAAAGTGTAAGTTTTATTTAATAATATTTTCTTTTTTAACAAATGAAATATATACTGTAATTTTTTTTTGTAGGTATTATGTTTCCATTTAGGAATGACAACTGGTTTCATTTGGAATTACAATCAGCCATCAGAAAGAAATGTCACTGAAAAAGAATGTCAGAAGTTATTTAATTCTATATATAATAGTATTAATCAAGAAAATGGCAAATTTATTTATACTCATAAGGTATTTATTAAAAATTACTAATAACACAGCACAATAGTGATTTTGCTGTATACAACATTTAGATGATTTCTATATTTAATTTTAATGCTGATTCGGAATATGGCTACAGATTTTTTCTGATACATTATTTTTTTTTTATTATTAATAATTAAAATTAATTAGTTTGTTTGTAGTATAAGTTATCAGAAAATTTTTCTTTTTTTAATTATATATTATATTAAAGAATATTTAATTTTAAATAATTTATAATGCTTATAGACTGTACGTAATATTATAAAATAGGCTAAATTTTCTAAAAATTGTATGATTTTTGGATTAAATCTCTAAAACTCTTAGAAATCAAGATTTTTAATAGTTATTTTTTCATGTTAAAGTACATTATATTAGCTTTACATTGATGTATGCATAAAGAAAAAATTGTTGGAAGGTTTTTTTTTTTAATGGTATAGTACACCTAAGAAACTTAAAGTTTAAGTAGTTTTGAAAAATGTAGATATCCCAATAGATTCACAATAATCCATTCAGTTTTGAAAATATTGTTTCAATACAAAGTGTAAACTAAAAATATCAACATAAACGGTTTTTAACAATTGTAATTTTTTGTGATACTTCAAAGTAGTATATAATTAAAGATAAAAACAAATAAAATTTGATTAGACAACCATAATAAATAAGTCTTTTTATAATATGAATTAAAAAATAAATTTAAATACTCAAAATATTTTAAAATTAAAAAAGTAAAGGACAACCTTATGCAATTTTATTTATATCTTAAGTATGGTCATTTTTGTGGGGAAATACAAAGGGTCCGGATTTCTCCATTATTTTTTTAAAATAAACATATATATATACATTTATACATATAAATTTAACCATCTATATATGTATATTAGACTTCTCCTGATGTAATGTTCTATATATGGTACTGCCAATAAAGTATTTATTCATTTTGTCTAAAAACACAAAATGATAGCGATTTTGCTGTATACACTATTTAGGGCAACTCTATATGAAATTTTAACGCTTCCAAATGTTCGGAGTATTATCAATGAAATTTTCACAATAATCCTTCAGTCTTTGAAAAGTTATTTCAATATAAAGAGACTACCAATAAAAATATCAAAATTGACTGTTTTATTCCAAAAATTCTAATTTTTTCGCAATATTCTCTTTATTACAGAGATTGTAGACTATTATGGCACTGATAGTTCTAAATACTTATATTTTGTAATCTTTAGTCGAATTATTTGAATATTATTGTGCAAAATTGGTCTAGTATGAAGTAGATTAGTTTGAAATACAGACAATAAAATAAAATAATAATAATATAATTCTGTTTCGTATCAAAGCTAAAACTATAAAATAATTTTTTTAACTTTTCTAATATAATGTGATATGATGCAAAATTTTCTATCAAGATTAAGTGTTTTTATAAATCACGAAATTTGAGTTTGATAAGTATTTTTCAGAAAAGCTGACTTTCCACTGTAACTTTTTTTGGGTAAATATCAAATTATGATTTAATTTATGAAAAAATGTTCAACCTATTAATAATTGTATCTATAGATAAAATTGTTTTCATTTAGATTTAAGACTCTATTTAATTAATTTTTTTTACTCTAAAAAATTTTAAAAATATAGATGATATTATCATTTTGATTTTAATATATTAACTGGATGATTCTTTTAATGCTAGCCACTCAATTTGTATTAAAGTAATAAGTTTTTGGAAAAATTTAATTTTTTTTGATGCTTGTATTAAATTTTTTATTTTTATCTCATTTTATACTTTTCTGTTACTAAAAATAACTTTTTTTGAGATTAAATATTTTAGTGAAATGAAAATACAAGAATTAAAAAATAGTATGTTTAATTTCAAAAAAAATATAACATAATAATTTTGGTGTATTATAAAAGAACACTTATTTACAAACATAAATACATAATAATATGTTTAAAAAAATTTTTTGTAATTGAATTGAATTTATCTTTCAGTGGAAACCAGGCGATTTTATCATATCAGATAATTTAGCTGTTGGGCATTTTGCTCATTCTAGTACTCAATCACCCAGAAATGAAGTTGGTCTAAGAGTTTTGCACAGAACAACTGTAAAGGGATTAGTTCCACCGACAAAATAAACTAATAATTGTTATTCGTTATGTTATAATTTAATAAACTTATAAAATATTAATTTGTTAATTTGTTTGTTAATATGACTTATTACTAGAATTATATAAAAAATTAATACTCTAATTACATAATTTTTTTTAACCAAAATGTTTGAAATTTTTATACCGTAAAAACATATTTTTAAATTATTTAGCTCCCAAATTTTGGTTTTATACAGAGTGTTCAGTAAGTCAGGAAACGGGTTTGTTACAAACAATGAGAACAATAGGAACCTGTTTCCTGACTTACTGAACACTCTGTATATTCCTATGAAGAATCAGGTAATCAATTGAATTTTATATTCTTATACATTGATAATTTATAAGGTATAATTTTTTACTTTTTCAAAAAAGTGTATAATCTTATTCATTCAATAAAACATTAGTGATTAAGTTTGCCCCATTTATTAAATTTATGACATAAAATTCTCAGAGTTTTTATGTGTATATAAATGTAAATTTTATGTGTAAACAGAGAAACTAATATGGTGATATAAAAATCTAAAAATATTAGAACTTTTTGCTATTTAATATTTTTAATTAAATAATATATTTTATGCAACAGCTAATAAAATCTAATTAAAAGATTCAACCCATATAAAAATAAACACCAACCTGGATTGTTAAAAAATAAACACATAAGTATATATTTTATTTTAAAAATTAAACGATTTTATTGAATAATATTTGTAAGCTAAAATTATATCTATCATCGTTATATTTACAATAAAATCAATTAAAGTTTTAAAGGTATTTTACAATAATAATATATTTTATATAAATAATATATTTTATGCAACAGCTAATAAAATCTAATTAAAAGATTCAACCCATATAAAAATAAACACCAACCTGGATTGTTAAAAAATAAACACATAAGTATATATTTTATTTTAAAAATTAAACGATTTTATTGAATAATATTTGTAAGCTAAAATTATATCTATCATCGTTATATTTACAATAAAATCAATTAAAGTTTTAAAGGTATTTTACAATAATAATATATTTTATATAAATAATATATTTTATGCAACAGCTAATAAAATCTAATTAAAAGATTCAACCCATATAAAAATAAACACCAACCTGGATTGTTAAAAAATAAACACATAAGTATATATTTTATTTTAAAAATTAAACGATTTTATTGAATAATATTTGTAAGCTAAAATTATATCTATCATCGTTATATTTACAATAAAATCAATTAAAGTTTTAAAGGTATTTTACAATAATCAATAAAATTGGTAAGTAGCTTATCTTTGGTTAAAAATTTGTTCATCTTCATACATTGACCTTAATTAATGATAGGAATTAGACAAGGTATTTTATAAAACGCGCATTAAAAACACATTTTTTTATGTTTATAAATAATAAATTTTCAATAAAAACGCAGAGTATATATATATAAATTTATAAATTATTAAGTTATAATAAAATACTCGTTGATAATATTGTAGCTAATAATACTTAATGCAGTTAATTAATAAATATTTAAAGTTTGTACATAAGATATAATAATGCTATAAGAAGCAAAATTTTGCAGAAACTAACAAAAGAAAAGAAAAATTGTCTTGTCAATCAATTTTTAAGCTTAATATCATTCAATGATCGTTGAAGTATTTTTTATTGATAATAAAATCTTAATTTAATCCTCTATCGCTCTTGTTCAAAATGTATGTACTTTGAAATTAATAATAGTGAGTAATATTATCATATTATGATAATCTAGTAAAAAAAAAAAAATTGTTTTTATTTGGTGACGATTTCCTGATCATAGCCGTTGCCTAAACACCTACTTAAAAGAGAAACACCGTCGGCAGCGGCGCCCATAGTGGAGTGCGTCGAATCTAAAAATTGCCAATAAACATATGATTGGTGGCTTTCCGTGGGTGGTGGTGCATAGACTTAGTTGGGAGGAAAGTAGCAGAGGAGAGAAAGCTACTGACAAGCTGCTGCCGCCGCTACTATCGCGTTCCGGCTCGTGCAGTCGTGTTATCAGCGGGTGGCCAACGTGCCCGTTTGCAGCCGAGGTCTAGAATAATTTTTTTTTTAATCAAAAGAAATAGTTTGTTAAATTTTGTTTCTTATTAGTGTATTTTTTGACTGTAAATATTTCGTTTATTTATAATATTTTATACTTAATTCGGTGTGCGCGTTTTGCACTTTTCGTCGAATTTTTCATCTTATTGCGTGTAAGGCCATACTTGGATTAAATGGGGGAGTACAAATTTAGTATAAATTCTAGTTTAAGTTCAATTGAGTACCAATCTTCGGTGAATTCGTCCGGTTTGCCACCTTCTTCGTCATCAACGTCACAGTCATATTTTGTTGATGACAACCAGCAACAGGACTCTACCTTAAAACCGCAGATCTCACCATCACCAATTAATGGTGATCACCAACAGTTATCCACCAATAAGAATGTCAATAAAGAAGATTCAATATTGTCAGTTCTTGGTGGAAGTGATAAATCAAATAGTGGCCCACAAATTCAGTTACCCTCGTTTAATAATGAACCTAGTCTAAATGTGATAAATTCTTCAACCAACTCATCTACGTCCAGTTTATGGTCAACATCAGTCGATGAAAATCTTATATTGAATGCATCTGCAGCTGTTAATAACACTGTGAGTTTTTCTTAGTATTTCTATTGATTCACATAACCTCTATTTACTCAATTAAAAATATTAATATATATCTAAAAAACATTGTAATTTGTTATTCTTGATTCAAGAGATTCAATAGCTATTAAGTTGTGAATCTACTTTATGACTTTCATTAGCAATTGAACATAAAAATAATTTTTAATTTAATTATTGATTTTGAACACACTCCAGCTTTGTTACTAAACAGACTTGATAAGTATTCCAAACCACAGATCCATATATCAGTATCAAAAGTTCCTAAGAAAAGTAAATTAATTTTATATAATGTATATTTTTAAATTCCCAATAGTTACTTTATATAAATCCTATTAGTTTTAAAGTTTTATTATGAATTAAACTAATATGTTAATTAAAAGGTAAATCATAAAAAAAAGTAATTCCAAAATTTTTTATTTGTTTAATTATTTCTAAATTTATATTGTCGATTTGGTATTAATAGTTTAAAAATCTTAAAAATGTTTTTGACATCATTTTATGAATAGTATAAATAATAAATGTGATATATGTCCACCATACATTAACACCCGAAGAAACATCAATATGTGATGATGAAATATTGTAACGTTAATGTTAATATAAAAATGTAAATTTTTTTTTAATTTTAATGTGATAACCTCAATATTATTCTTTTAAATTGAATACTAAAACTGAAATATTCAGATATCTAATATAAAATATTGAACTAAAATATCTGTATAAAGTTAATCAAGTTAGATCAACAGACTAAAATCAATTCCCAATTTTTTTCTAAGCAACAAATCATGTCATGTTGTCTCTCAAGTAAGATAGTCTGTGAAGTGGGTTTAGTTACATTTACTACTGTTATATTTTAAATCTAATTATTAGAATTTATTAAATTAAAATTTTTCAATAGTGACAGAAGGTCGTTTGAAATTTGAATCTCATGAATATTACTTTACTTAAAAGCATAATTTCAAATTAAATGTTAAATATATATTTACTGGGTGATTTATTACACATTACTCTCCAAAAAATATTGTAATTTTGACAATTCTTTCTTATGTATTTTTAGTAATATATTTATAATCTATGAGTTAGACTTATCAAGTATTTGTTAAGTTCACCCTTATGACTTATAGGGTCTTAATTTTTAAACTTCAATATGTATGTATAACTAACTGATACGTTAAAAATTTATATAATTAAAAAAGTTATGATTGATGACCTTTTTAAACCATTATTTTGTAAATTTTCAATGTTTTAAAATATAAATGAAGGAGTACAGTATGGATTACAATTATTTTTTTAATTGGCATTTTTCAAACAAACTGTTCTTCCTGCTTAAATATAATATATTCTTATTTCCTAAAAAATACTTAGTAACTCAATAGTCAAAGCATATGTTACCACTATGTTAATATTATTATTTAAGATATTAAGTAATCAAAATTAAATCAGTCATCATGTATGTATTATTTTCATTCAGTTTAATCTATATTAAATTTTTATTAGGTGTTATATTTACTTTTTTCTTAAAGCAAAATCTTTAAAAATTAAAAATTTTTCTAGTTTTAAAAAAAAATTTCTAGAAATATCTCAGTAATAATCTATACTGTTTAGCTGTTAATATTTTTATATTATTGCAGATCATAATGAACTAAGCTTATTTACATCTACATATAATTATAGGTTAATATTTTACATAATTAGAACATCACATAAAACAATAAGAAATTTGGAAACGCATTAATTGTATTATTTATTTTTATAACTATTATTTTATAAAAGTATTTTTTAGAAGGAAAATTTCAAAATTATAAGTTCTTCTTTTTCCTCCCCTTATCCCAACTACTTGGGCCCACTACTCTTAAACTTTCACTTGACACAATTTTCCACATCATCTATGCATACATTAGTCGTCCTCACATTAAATTCAATAACACCACTCCAATTTTTTTTGGTTTTCCTCTAACTCTTCTTCCATCTAGTTACACTATAACTTAACTCAACCATTCCTCTCTTTCCTTTGTAAGTTCTAATACACTTATTTTAAATCCTGATAAAAACTAAAAATTTGTTTTAGGAAATCGGTGGTTTAGGTTAATCTTTAATGTATCAAAAATTTTTTCACTAATAGTGTACTTGTTATCTAGAGGTCTAAAAAGATACAGGATTAATATTGGTCTCTGCTAAAGTGTTAGATATTTAGAAATTATATTTATACTTTTTATTTTAAATTTTATGAAAATAAATTGTATTTTTTAATTTTTATTTCAAGATTAAGTAAATTAGAATAGATTATTTTGACTTTATACTCATAATTATGTAAAGGAAATTTACTTAATGATTTAATTTGATTGTTAAAGAGCATTTATTAATAAATTGCTAGTATAATAAAGATGTTGTAAAAAAAACATTAAAATAAATTGTTGCAATCAATTTATTTCTGTTATAAATAAATAAATATATATATATATTATATAATATATAACTTTCACTGGGCCAATTTTTTTTAAAAATATGTCAAAAGATCAAAAATGTTATCTAGTTGAAGAAATTACCCATAAAAATCAAACAATTATCCCTCATACCCTGTAAATGATGGAAATCCCCAAAAAATTACAATTTTTAAAATCAATGAATTTCTATATTTTTTAAACTTTTTTTTCACAAAACAATCGTGTTTAAATAGATGCTACAATTAAAATATTCAGAACTACATTCCGTATACTTATATCCTAAAATTATATTCTATAATATACTAATATTCAGAAATACTGCAGGCCTAGTTTCACCTATGATTTTGTTTACTGATGTGTTGTTGAATTTCATTTTAACGTAAATTTTTTTAGTTATTTTTATTTTATATGTAAATATTCGTATTTTACTAATTACTATTAATCTCAAAAATTAGAGGTAAAAAAAAAATCTAATAACAGATTTGAAATCAGCGCCAAAATTGGTTTAGAGAAAGTATATTTTTGTCACTGATCAAAATTCCTTATAGACCCGTTTAGACAAAATAATTTTAAATCATTTTCTTAAAATGTTTGCATCAAGCACTTTAATTTTTATTGACGTTTGCCACAGAAGTAACGAAATATATAACTAACTTTATAAGTTTTTATAATTTCTTCGTAAAATTTACAATATTAAATTGTTGAATATCAATTTCATACTAAGATTAATGACTATAACTATAAATTACTAAGTATTTATTCATATATTAAACTTTTAATCAAAAAGCTACTAATCAGTATATAATTAAGGAAATAGGAGTTGATGCTGTTTTTGGAATTCACTAGTTTCTTAAAATATACACTATGTACATATTTGCATCGAAGCGTTTTTTATGATAGTAATTATATCACTTTCTGATATTATTCATACTTGTCCTAACTATGTCACATCCTCACTGTGCCACAGTTTTTTTTTTTATTATTAAAACTGTCATAACTTTTTAAAAATAATTTTTATATGTAAACACCTTAGGTGTAATACTTTGACATTTATACATATGTTAAAATAAAGCTTATGCTACGTATTATAATTAAAAAAAAATTGTTTCGACACCTTGTCTTCTATATTTAAACTACCCCCCAACTTAGACCGAAAAAAATGTTGTACCTAATAATGGCTTATGTAAATTTTAAGTAACAAAATACAGGTGATTCTTTTAATAGCCACACTTATGTATTTGATTTCTTTTAAAATAATAATTATATTAAGAAAATTATTTTTTGGTGTTGTTTAGTTACATATATTTCTCGATTAATCAATTATAATATTTTTTTTAATTTATCCTTTATAAAAATGTCAACTTTATTTTACAATCATAAAAAACATATCTAACTAGCTTATAAAACAAACAATTATCTAATTAAGAAAATGGCTGATCGATGACAACTTTTGACTCATTTTTTCGGAAATTATTATTATTTTAAAATATAAAATGGAGGTAAAGTGTGAATTATGTTATTTTTACCAATAACCAATATTATTGCTGTGCTCTTCTTCCACTCTATATTTAAAAATGTTAACTACATGTGAATTACATTTTAAAAAATTGTTTTCGACAACTCATTTTCCTAATTAGATCACTTTCAATTTTATTTGTTAGTCCAATATGTATGTAACCATTTAAAAAAATAATTTTTCACCATTATAAAGTATATGGGAGGAATTCGAAATAATAATAATAATTAATTAATCTAGAAATATATAAAATACTTTTCTTAATATAATTGAGTGGCTAATTTTAAAAGAATCACTCTGCAATGCAGAGTCTGCATACTATAACTTTATATATTTTATTAATTTCTGTGTAAAATTTACAATACTACATTTACTTACTATAATAAGTATTTATTCGTGTATTATACTTATAAATCATAAAATTAGTAATCAGAATATAAATAAGGAAAAAGGAATTCATGTTGCTTTTGGAATAACTCAGTAACTCCTTCTAAAAATTAAACACTATTTACAAATTTGCATCGAAGCGTTTTTTATAATAGTGATTTTAAACACTATCAGATAACATCTATAATTCTTATTTATAAAAATATTAATACTAAAGGATATTTGTATGCAACCTACCGTTTGTTTTAAACTCTTCGTAAAATGAAAAATTACCATCAAAATTTCATATTCGAAAACATTTTATCTTGATAGATTTTCAATAAATTTTTAGTTGTTTTTTATTACATACAACTTAATGTCATTAAATAGTCGTGCGTATATTACAATTTTTTGACACGTAGCGACATTTTCAATCACAGAATATATTATTTTATTTTATTTTATTAAAAATGCAAAATTATATAATATTTGTAAAAAAATACAAATTTTTTTGGTGGATAAATATTAATACAGTATAATAAATTACTATAAATAATTACAACAAAAAATCAGAAGAATATGTAATGGCTCCAAAAATAAATACTTAAATAATAAAAAGTAGAATATAAGATTCAATGTATCAGTTATTCTATACTTGTTCCAACTGTATTGATTTTTTTTACGGTACTTTCTTAAATAAATAAAAGAAGGTAATGTAAAAATTTACTTTTGAAAGTCTAAATTTGTTTTTAATGAGTCATAGTGTTACAGTCGATCTTTAAAATTTGCTACTTAAGATAATTTTAATTCTGTTACAAATGCTCCATATTTCTTTTATCTCCAGTCTCCTTTATTAGTCCTTTAAATCTCTAAACTGTTCAATTTTAAACTTAGTCTGTTTTACATATAAATCTACGTTATTGTAATTATAACGTATTATATATGTTATATTAATTAATAAATTAACTTTGTACGCATTTCATTGGTTTAATTTAATTTCAGAATTTTCCAAACACTATGTATAATACTGCTATGGGACCTCATCATCAACAACAACAACAACAACATCAACAACAACAGCAACAACATCATCAACATCATAGACGCCAAGCTTCTGGTGCTACTCATAATTTCCCGCACAACTTATCCAGACAACTTCAACAATCGGCTCACCCACAAAATTTGTACATGGCGAGTAAAGGCTACTCCTGGTCCCAGTCACATCAAAATTCGTGGCTTAATTCTAGTCAAAACCAAAGCGGCATAGCCGGCTCTTCGTGGAACCGAGGCCGTTCTGTGCCTAATTTGAACCCTATGCATGCTTTATCAGGCCGCAAGCCAAACCCTAACTATAACCATCACCAACACCCGACTAACCAGACAAACTCTTCGAAGTTCCGAAGGAGCACATCTTATCCCGGTAAAGGTTTATTCAACCAAAACACAGCATCAACTTTTGATATAAACAACATTGACGAAACAGACGTAATGAACTACCAGGTAAGAAACCTAGTTTTTTTAATTATTCAAGTTTTATATTTAATCGTTTGTAACCTTAATCGAATAAGTTGACGAATTAATGGCAAATAAATCTTTATTCAATCGAATAATTAACAAATTATTGTATAAGAAGGAAAGAACAATTAGGATATCAAAATATCTGTCTTTGCCAATTTTAACGAGTACAGAAATGTTTATATGATTTCAATAATCACTGCATCACTGTCTTTTAGAAATATTAAGAAAAAAAAATTGTTGGTTTTTTGATAACAGTAGTTTTAGACTCTTCTTCCTCATTTGAGAACTATTTGATAATATCTCATTATTGTGTATCTATTAAACTAATTGATAAATCTATATTACTCAGCAAACCGTTAAATTTATAATCCCTATTCTTATTAGCTATTTCTAAATCATTAGTGTTACTTACATGAATAAGTATAAATAGTAGTGACATAAAATTATAATAAGTAGTAAATGTACACGAAGCAAATGACTACCTCATTTTGTGCCTTGGCTCTCGGTTGGCGTATAAATTTAACTAATCGTGAATTATAAATTGCACTTAATGTAAAAAAAAGTAATTGTTTTTTGTTTAATGAGCATTGAAATCATCTATGAAGAGCTGTGCTTAATTTATTAGTTCTGATCGTAGTATTTATTAATGCTCAAATAATCGATTTCTTACTAAATTATTTATATAGGTCAGAAGTAACATATGCTATTTATTACTAGCAAAAAATAAAGCTAAAGAAATATATACATTGAAAACTTTTTACTACAATTAAATATTATTGATACTAAAAGTAAATTTAAAGTTTAACAAAATCCGTACTATTCACGCAAGATAAAAATATTTATGGAAAAAATATTTTCAAAAAGTAGATAATATTTTTGTTATATAAACGCGTTGTTTCTATAACAGCTATGAAATAATTTTTAATTAGGATATTGTTTTAATTGCGTTTTGTCTTTCTTCTTATCATTGATACTACTCAAATCGTCCAAAATGTCGAAAATACCTAAGTATATACATATTTATAATAGATTTCTGTGGTTGCTTATCAAAGACCTTGGTGTTGTATATATATATATATTAGAAATTCTCACTTTATAGTTCGTACTGTATTAGTCTTATTTATGAGCTATAGTATAGTTTAATGAATTGTCATTTTTTTGTTGCACTGTTGTTTCTGTAAGCGGCTGACGCAGGCGTTAAGAAGACCCTCAACGGTCAATAAAAATAGTGGCCTGGTCGCCGACGCGCTTGGACTATGACGACGGTATTTACGACGGCGGTCGTAACAGACTCGAGAAGCTTATGTGTTACCGTCGGAACCTCCAGAGTGGTGCTCTACGTTTGGCTAGAGACTTTCGGCAAATTGCACTGGGTCAGAGTAGAGATCACGTGCAATATATTTCCTAAGAGTTCGCTGAATACAACTTCAGTTGCGCCACGTGTCACGAAATTGTTTGTGTTATGATAAAAATAAGTTTGGAGTATCGACTAGAAATTCAGCTCGTATTTCGTATTATATTCGTTTGTGACGCTGAAATTTGTATTACGTGTGCAAGTTTATTCAGCAAAGTCATTTTAATTATTTCATAGTTGATTTTGTAAATTCATATTTTACATGCCCAATGAACTTTTTAACGCGCCTGTTGTGATTAAAAAGTATTCTATGATTTTATATACCAAGTCGTTAAAAATATTAGGTGTTTTTCATATTTTCAAAAATATTTTTATACTTTTACGAGAATTTTTGTGATTTTTACGAATCACCTCACAAATGAGCTTTGTATTTAAGATTTAAAATGAAAATTATATTTATACAAAGGTAGTTTTCTATTTTATTTCTGATAAAAATATCGTATTGATTCAGTTTTTATTAAAAATTAACAGTCTTTTTAAAACGCCTGAAAAAAAAATCAAAATTTGTCAATTTTAACAATTGTATTTTTTTTTTTTTTTTTTTAGATATTTTCACTTATAAAAAAAAATTGTGTTGAAATATTTCAATTCTCGAAAATTTTCATCTAATTAAAGATATTACGTTAACAATTAAATATGATTCGGTTTCTTTCGATGTAAACTATAAAAAAACTGCACATCCTGATAAAATTAATACCTTCACTGTGACATAACGAAATTAAAAATTTGTCGATAATTCAAGCGTTCTCAAAATTTTTCTTTCTTTTTTTTTAAAGAAAAATCATTATTTATACACAGTGTAGAATGTGTAAAAATCCAAGTAGAATTATAGTGTGAGCCGAGTTGATAGTTACACAGCAAAACGATTGGCTAGGAGTAACATTTGTGTATTATATTTAACATAACAGTTAAAATTACTTCTTCTGAAAATTCTTCTTATGTTGATCTCATCTAAAAATAATTGTGAAGTTGCTCCTGTTTTCAAACGCGCACAATTCGTTGTCACTTGTACGGTGTTAAATGTTGAATCTGATTGCACTACATGCTCCTTATGACGTTTGATGATAAACCTTTTCTGAAAATTAGTGGGGAACTAGTCGAGCATCTTGAAGTTTGCTGTGCCAACTATGGAGGGATGAAATATTTCGTTTACCCGAGTTTCCCCTGACAATTGCTATTATTATACGTCTGCACGCTCTAGACACATGAACGCATTTGGCTTTCGTTCAACTAGGACAGGCCGTCGTTGAAGTAAACTACGGTCGCGTTAGAAAAACTATTGAAATGGATCTATAATTATATAAAAAGAAATTGTATTTAATTTGTGTCTAAGACACTGCCAATTTTATCTGTATTTACTGTAATATTCGCTTTAATTATAGCAACATTTTTTGAATTTGTTTAATCTTCCACAAGAGCCTTTGTTTGGTCCCTATGTCGCCATAAGTGACAATTATCTGATGTACTCTATTTGAATAAAACAAATAACTGTAACTATTAACTTCCAAAGTTTTATTGAATAAGAATTTGTTATATACAAAGTTTCAAAACTTGTCGTTATTCTTTTATATTATCCTTAGCTTACACCTGTCTTTGTAAATTTCATGGAAATGAATTATTTTATTAAAAAAAATATATATATTAATTAAAAGTTTCTTTACATATTTTCTAAACATAGAATTTAGTTAAATTTTCTACGAAAATAGTATTTCTTAAATTTAGATTGATGTGTTTTGCCCTAATGTATGAGTTTTATATTTTTTTTATCATTTCAAATATAATTTACTTGTATTATTTAATAATAAATAGCATTTTTGTTGATTAATAGCTGCATCTCATGTCATTTTCTTGAGAACTTTTTGAAATAATTAAGTGTTTTTTTAATGTTTGCATTGTTAAGCATGGTTTTACTTAAATTAAAAAACCTATTAAAATGTGTGAAACGAAAAGGAAAATAATTTCAACAATCCCTTTTATATTATCCATACCTAAATGTATAAACTAATATATTGTTATATTTAAATGATTAATTGGAGGATTAAATACTTTTTCATGTTATTTGTGTAGTATCAATCATGATGACGACATTTTACTGGTAAAGCATGCGCTGATGATAAAGGTCAACGCACGTTTCACTATAACAGAGGATTCCATAAAAATATGTCGTTCTATAAATTGGCACGATTTACTTCATTATTTTTAGCTTAAAAATTTATAAAGTTCTTTATATTAAAAACTTGTTTCAGTGTTATTTTGAACATAATATTGACTTAAATATTGGATATGATTACTTGATCAAAACACATTACACTCTACATGTTCACACTGTATTATCATAAGACCACAGTGATCTAATCGTTAATGAGAATACATTTTTTATACATTAATTTTTTCACAAAATTAAATTATGTAATGTTAAGACATTTAAAAAGAAATCAATATCAACTTAAATAATCGATTATATATTTATAATTAATAGTAATTACTTATAAAAACGGTAGCACAGTGGGGTCGCGGCATAGTGGACACATTGCATAGTAGGGTCCAGTNATTATCTATTGATTTTATGAATAGATTTATACCCTTGTAATACTACATAAAAATAAAATAAAAATAGCTTTTATATTATTTTTGAAATCAAAAGTAAACATTGACCCCAATTATAATTTCCTTAACATATTTCTTTTTGAGTATCTGATTAGTCTTATATATATATATTATATTTAACTACCTGAAGAGTTTTTTATATTTAGTTTCAATGTTGGTATTAATAAGTGTATTTGGTATCTTGGGATTTTAAAAATCATAAAAATTCGAGTGTTTGAAAAAATTTCCAAAATTAAAAAAATTTTATATATTAACTACTAAGTTACTTTATAAGTAAGAAGGCGTAAATTATGACATCTGTTTGTTCGTTACACATTTTTTTTATATGAAAATGAATATTGGCATCTCATATATAAAAGTATTTCACCTTAAAAATAATAAATATTTTATTCAGAAGTATTCCTTTTTGACTTTTGTTGCAAATATATGATTATATACACCCAAAGAAAAACCTCAATCAAAATTGAAAGAGAAATTTTATCAAGGGTTTATGATAATGTTTTATTAATACGAACAAAATAACTATTCTTATAAATAATTATTGTTCAAGACAAGAAAAAAAAATATCATATTGATAAATATATCATTGATTCAATAGTAATGATATATTTATCAAATTGAACAATGAATTTATTATATAGATCGAGGTTTTTCTCTGGGAAATAATATCACAAAATTAATTGGATACTATATATTTTAAGCATATTTTTAAAAGTACTTATTAAAAAAATAACAAATAAACGTTATTACTGTTTTAAATTATTACTAATGGAAAATATCACCACGAGTCTTATATTACTGAATTAATTAAAAAAAGATCATTGAAGTGCAAGACCTAAATTAATAAAATATTTATTTAATCAACTGTCAATGCAATAATATGTTAAATTTAGACAAGTTACGAGGATTTTTTATAGCATAAATATATTACATTTAATAATAATAAGAATTATAATGCAAA